GGAGGAGGAGGAGGAGGAGGAGGAGGACGTGCAGTGAGAGGGGTTGGCAGCGGTATTAGCAGGTGGATGCGTCGACGAGAGCGGGAGGCACCGTTCCTTCGCCTGCTGGTCCGGAGTCAGGTGCGTTGAGTCTGGGGCATATCTCACTGCCACGTGTGTCGGCAAATCATTTTTGCGTGCGTGGGTGTAAGGTATCCGACTTCACTGGAACGAAACATACGGCAGGACCGCAGTTGCCCTCATGTGGTTCGTGTGCGGAGTGCATCGATGGTAGGAAAGGGAGGCGCGACACACCGATTTGTTCGTGTCAAGCGCTTCGACGGCTGCCACGTCTTCTACCTCTTCTGTCATAGCGTCGGGACCGCAAGACCACTGGAGAGTTCAGCCATGTCGTGTTCAAGGTTGCGATTGATGCCTTGATGATAGCGTGAGGATTGGGATATGATGAGCTCGCTATTGTTTCTCGTTTCACCCGCCACCTCGATATACATGTTGTTTTCGCCCTGGTCTGCTCTGTTCCCGCAGGCGTTTGAAGTATTCCGTGCGGCGGCCGCGGAAAAGCAATGAAAGGAGAGGGATGTGGGTGGTTTGAAATCCAGAGCTGACGTCCCAAAGCAATACTTTGGCTGGGTTTTCATTCCTGCCATATATTGGGTTTGCGCATACGTACAGATCAGGGCAACGAGGAACCAGGAGCGAACCACATGTTGCATGTGTACGTTGGGGAAAGTAGCAAAGTCCATGGTGGAGTTGGTGTAGTTGTTGTTGTTGTTTCTCACATTAGCTCTATAGACTAGTCCACAAAAAATGGGGAGCCCGTGGTCTCAAAACCCGGCACATTCGACGCCGCGGGGAAACAAAACAAAAATAGGGTTCAAACCAATCGAAAAAAGAAAACAAAATGATAGAAAGAAAAGAACAGGTATCGCACCGAGTGTGTACCGGGCACGAGCTCGGCCTACACAATTGTAATACCCATGTGTGTGACACTCGCCGGTAAATTAGCACATGCACAGCACAGAAAAAACAAGTGGGCTTGATGCCATTGTTTGTGAAGTCTGTGGGTATGACTTGTCGCCGCGAGAGGAGTAGCAGTCCGTCACCCCTAATTTGATGCAACAAGTACCGAGAAAGGCATGAGGGCGATGGCCCTACACTGACGCGCCTGTGCATTCGCTCTATCTACGAATGGATAACAACGCAGCAGGTGTGTTCGCTACTACTGTAATACAGCCCGGTCAACACCTCCATGACGCATTCCTTGCGCGTGCAGTGAGTCTCTCAAACGATGACTGAGCTTGAGGCCTGCATAGTAGTCATGTCGCACGACTACTGTCGTTCACCTTACGGTGGTCATTCCATGCAAGTTCGATTTCTACCGGGTGACGTAGCTTGCGCCCTCGAGGGGCTCACCTAATACGGTCAGCGAGGCATCGTAAATCCGTTGCGTTGAGAGGCAAAGCCAACTGAAAAAAACGGCGGTGACGTGGTCGTTCGTTCAATAGAGGGTGCACTTTGCGGCCCTGACACACAAGCCCTGCCTGCGTCTGTGCGAGTTTTGCACGTGGGATATGACGTTCTTCTCTCTTCAGTAGGGCGCGCCGTCAACGCGTACTGGACGCATCTCGGGGAACCCATCATTAGGCTTGTGTCCGGGAGTGTTTCTATGTGTTATGGGACGCCATGAGTCCGATTGCGATCAACCTTTCTGGCGTTGCATGCGTCCGGCCCCCACGTCCCTATGTTACGTAGGGGTAGCATTGCCGTTATTGTACAATGCTTGAAAAGGTTCTCCCCGATCTTGCGCAAGTGGCGTCCCCGCACACATGGAAACCGCGGGATTGGCCTTCGGATATTTTTTCCTCCTCCGTCTGTTCCGGCGATTCACGAGGTGCGGCACTTGGAGGAGCGAATGGCGCGTGCATGCCGCCGTCGTGGTACAGGGGACAAAGAAGTGTTTTCCTCTCGCCGCCGCCGTTCACCTGAGAGTGGCGACCGCGTGACACGCCGATGGGGAGATGGCTTCATTGGCCTGGCCAAGACGGCTGTCTACGAGGGAAAGTGGCGGTACTCGCGGCGGTCGGTCGCGCACAAAGAAACTCTGCGCTCAGATTAACTCGGAAATGCTTCGATCGCCGCGGTCGCCATTCTGTAGTACCACACACTTGCATCTCTCAAACGTATAACCATGATCACGGTGCATGTCTATGCCTCATTCACATGTCTTTGAGTTGTTTTTCCACGGTGCAGCTCCTTGCCTGCTAGTAGAAGCCACGAGCGGTACGTACTGCGTGTCGGGCCGAGAAAGTTGGGCGGATAACTCCCGCTGATTGTGTGACACCACGCCGTTTCGGGGATCACCGGTTCCTCGTGGCCCCCTGACGGTACCTGTGCGAATTGGAGCCGACAAGCACTACGTTCGCCTCAGCCGGGTCTTCACCGATGTCCGGCCGCCGTCGTGGACAGCGGCTAAACAGTGCAACCACTCTGCACTTTGATTGCTTTGTTCCGGGGCATTCCAGGGGGCGTCGGGTTTGGGACGAGAGAAAGCCCCACCCTAGTGTCATCTACGTCGATCAGGACCCCGGCCCCCCGTTGAAATCCCGTCGGGAAATAAACACGAGACATATCTGATGGTACAAGCACAGCTCCTTTCGATTATCTACAAAAATATAAAAGATAGGGAACAGCACCCACCACCCTCATGATAGCTCCCCCTTCCAGGAGAAGAATCCGAGAACCCACCCAGTTTGACAAGAAGAGGGCTAGCGCGGTGCCAAGGACACGCATTCCAGGAGTTTGCAAAACAACATGTAGCCACTGCAGAAGCTCCCCGAACGCCCTAACCGTCTTCAGGGCGGATAGCACGTAATTATTTTGTCCACGGTTACTACAATCAGTACACACGCTGATCACAACGCAAAAAACAGCGAAGAACTAAAAGTCCACAGCTCAGCTTGAGCGAGCAACCGGTTATCATGTTTTTCCTGCACAGTAAAAATCGACTGCCGAAATCAGTACAAGTTCGAAACACCATGTTCCCTAGAATGACCGATCTTCGCTCCAATATCACTTCATCACGCCTGACCAGCCCTAACCTACCATCACCATCTGCACTATGCGTCACCGTTGCGAACGCGTTGCTTGTCGTAGACCGATCTTCGTATGGGGACCCGGGCCCGATACCGGTAGCACGGCGACCATTCCCCTCCGAAGATCCCACAACAGACTTATCGTTTCGGAGTGAAAACAAAATATCAGCCTCATGCACAGTGTCAATTACCGATTCAAGGCCTTCCACACCACCTCGGAACCCTCCCTCTCCAAGATGGCATTTCCGTCATCGGTGATGACCAGCCTAAACGCACCGCTACCGTCGGCGCCTTCACGATCATTGGCCCTCGGTACTCTCTTCCGCTGCTGCGTTGTTTGCCTTTTCTGTTGTCGGGCCTTCTTTTGTCGTTGGCCGCCGGACCAAAGGAGCTTCCCCTCCTCGCGCAGCTCCTATAGGACATTACGAAATTAACCAAGAGAGTGACATGTCAAAGCCGACGGGTCACGTGGTGATGACGTCATGATGTCGTCAGCAAAGGTGTGAGGCTGAAAATTGGATTTCGCAGCACACATGGCAGCACAGGATGACCGTTGCTTGTCATTATGAGCAAGATAACCACGCTAGAACCCATTGCAAAGCAACACTACCCTGGGATCAAGTTGACAACAAGTTTCCGTTGTCTAAGAAGAGGTATGATCGACGGCAGATTCCGGATTTCTAGCTGTACAGTAGGCAATCAAAAATATCCCGTCATCGCAGCCAACGTTTGAACCATTCTTGTGAAACCGCAGCCGTGCCATCAGAGATATTACCACCGATGACAGGACCGTCGTGTTACCTACCCAGGCACACCGAAGAACTCATTGAAAATGCGGCAGTGGACATGAATCACTGCTGTCGGAACGGTGTCGGGACACGTGATAAATTAGCAAAATAGACAAAGCTAGATGTTATTGCCAACTTGGCCCATTTTGAAATACAACCAAGCAGAGAACACACACGACGCTCTTGAATGCTCCGGGCGAAGACTATCAGCGATACGAAGAAGGACGTCCGTTCGAACGGGGTGCCTTAGCCGTGTTCCGCCAAGAACAACAAGTAGGTAGTCCATGTCGATGTTTGCCACAAGCCCCCGAGTAGAACGTACCACTCTTCCTTCGGGAGCGACCGTCAACCGGCACGCCGTGCAAGGCCGCACCGCCTGCTGTCGTCGGATCTTCCTCCAGATCCACCCGACCAGGCTACGGCGCTTCTTTGATCCTCGGGCCGTCCAAACCTGAAAAAAAAAGTGACCCACAACAAACCAACCGCAGAGAAACGGTCCACCCAAAACAGCGCATAATCGAAAGAGCGATGCATACTCCGGGGTTCCATGCCCGACGGATGACGGCGGCGAAAACGAGTCGTACATCAGCGAGCAAGGGAAAGGGAGTCAAGATCGTAGTCTCCCATGCCCTCTTCCAGGTAACTGGAGCCTGGCTTGAGACTGAGTTTCGGGTTCAGCCGAGCACTCCAGGGGAGCACCACGGGCACGTTTTGATCCCTAGCTACACGGAGGCAGCTCAGGTTGAACCATTCCCCTGCAAACGTTCTCTTGTGGAGAGCGGGCGGGGTGTGCGTATGGCATGTACTCCCCGGCCGAGCAGAAGGAACGCAACCTCCGCAGACAAACCCAATTGGTCTCATCTACCAAAACGCATGCAGCCCCTCTGAGTCCCTCCGTCACGAAGGGGTGTCGACGTTCCAAGACAGTTCGTGATCGAGCCAACTTCAACTCACGTTCAGCTACAACTCACGTTTATCCCGAATGCGACGGGTGATCATTGGGCAATTGGTATGGAGTAAGCCTCCTTTTCGTTAAAACACATCATGCAGTGTCAAAGGCCGTAATTCTTAGTCTTGAAAGTGAAGACCAAGCGACCGGCGCGGTGATGCGTTTCCCAACACGATGAACGCGGCAGGCCGCCCATGAGCAAGAGCTACCACCGAATCACCCCGCCCCCGCCCCCCCCGGTGTTTGCCATCAGGGTTGGGTTTTCGTCGCTTGCCAACGACGTTGTAAAATAAGCTGCCCCCCCCCCGGTGTTTGCCATCGGGATTGGGTTTTCGTCGCTTGCCAACGACTTGGTAAAACAAGTCACCCCCTTCGGTGTTTGCCGTCGGGATTGGGTTTTCGTCGCTTGGCAACGACGTTGTAAAACAAGCCAATTCACTTCGTGAACTCGGCAACCAGGTTACCGTTTGTTTTTTTTACTTTTTTTTTTTGGCGGTAATCATAATGGTGGTCGAGTAGATCATGTTGTGCGGGGTCGAGAACCCTCACTCCGCGCAAGGGGGATGATCGCACCACGTTGTGTTGACTTGGTCAAGCACCCTCGAGGCAGTTACACAGTGCTTACAACTGTCTCTGGAAGTGAAAGCACACCAGATAATGAATTAACTCATACGCAGCTGTCATTCGTACGCAAGGACGTAAGCACAAGATGCCGAACACCCTNGTTTGTTTTTACCTCTGTTATTTTTTGGCGGTAACCATAATGGTGGTCGAGTAGATCATGTTG